TAAAATAAAATAAAATAAAATAAAATAAAATAAAATAAAATAAAATATGCAAAAGCACATTCTATATCCCTTTCACAAAAGCTCAGAGAAAGGTTTGTTTGGACAATGGAAAAAAAAACCTGAAAGTAATCTCTGCTAGATGGAAGATTTCAATAGATGGAAATACTTTTCTTTATTGTAAAAACAAAACAAACAAATCAACCAAAAAATGTGTTTGGCTGTGGTATTCCTCAAAGAGTAATATTTGACTTTACATCAGAAAGAAAAGTATCATTTCACAGACATGATTTTACGTAGATAAAATATTCTGACCAAGATAAAGCATTTAGTAGTTTTGTTTCAAACACTTTTTTCTAGAAATTGAGTTAAACAGCATGGGAAAATTCAGTGTATATTCTTTAAAGTATGAACCTGGTAAATGCACAAATGGATACTTGCTAGTTAATGACCAGTCCATTTGCCAACTTTATTTACCAAAAGAAGATTACAGACAACATTAAGTGTTTGTTTATTCTTTCCCATGAAATTGTGCTTACCGTATGTAAAAAATCCTTATTTTCTTAACACCATTCCTAAATAAAAATTACAGACAAGAGACTTGGCTTGTGTTTTCTACCTAATTCAGAAAATCACTAGCCAGCTGTAAGAATTATCAAGCTTTTCAAGCTTTGATTACAAAATATCCTAAGATGGTCAAGGAAAGCAAAATATCATGTCCTACCCATCTGGTAGTCATCATTCTTAGAAAAGAGCCCAACATCTTAACAACAAGCATTTTATAAAAATAATGAAGAACTATGTTATTTGATCTTATTACAACTACCTGGAAGTAAAGTGCTTGAACATGTAATTGGAAACTCTAATTTCAAGTGACATATTTCCTACTTAGTTTTCAAAAATGAAGTACTACATACAGAATACTCGCTGATTAAATAACATCTAACCATAGGTCCAAGCCCTCTGCTTTTACAAAATGATGACTAAGAACATTGAAAGCAGAAGTAGAATTTCAAATAGTCCTTCCTCATGAGTTTCCAATAATACTAAAAAAGATAACATATTTTCAAATATTAAATAAAGCTTCCGTACTTGGAAGCTAAGCTAATGTCACAATTGGATGGCCAGAGGTACTAATCTCTTTTTCCTGACAGATAGATTTTAGCTGTCTGAAGTCTAATTTCATTAGCAGGGGTGTCTCAAAGCAAGACAAACAAAGTGAGTAGCAGAGAGTGACTAACTCTGGATACCCAAGTTAAAGTAAATGAATTGCACCATATGTCATAACTGACTGAGTAAAAATGCCTCTTTCACATCAGATTTTCCCATATAATTTTGTTGTTTTAAACTGCTAATGTTGTTGAATTTATTTTGATTCCTAATAAGTAGTTTTGCCAAAACTGAAGCTATAAATTACATAGGAAAATAATTCCTTTTTTAAGCAATTAAATCTTACAATCTTACAGTATAACAGGAAAGAAGAGAATTTCTTGATATAGAATCAAATTATGAGAGACAGCTAAGAAACTGTATTACAGAGTACCAAAAACATTGAAAGAAAAACGCAAAAATAGAATGTGCATGATGTTCTATATTTAGTTTTGTGAGTAGGCTCTTAAATTTCCTTTGAGCTGTCTTCTCTGATAATCGCTGGTAAGACCAAATTCTGGAGACGTATTCTCAGCAATTATTATTTGAGAACTCAACCCAGACTGTATTCAAAGGCTCTGTGAATTTTTTGTATTTCCATATATAAGCATCTTTTCATGTTTGTTAACAAAGCCTAGGTCAAAACAAGCCATTTTGCATCAAGTATTTTCTACATATTTCCTATTTTATTTTTATAATGAATGTCTGCTAACACATTCAATGTTCGCAGGCAGACCTGTCTTGAAGATTCTACTGTTGTTAACACCTTATTTAGCTGCCATACACAAATTCATCTCACAAAACAATATCAGAGTGAAATATTTTCATATCTCCTTCTATGTCAGCAGTTTTCCAGTCTGCACGCTATCACTGCATCTGCAGTGAATCATACAGAGTCATCGTTTTAAGGAGAGGAGGAATGCTGGACATATAAGGTGTATTCAAATATTATATTCCAGTTAAAATATCAATTTTTTTTCAATATTAAGTTTCAGTACAAGAGCAGTGACATGAGCTCCCCAGCTTTGAGGCACTTTTGTGGCTTTTTATATGTATATACATATTACAAGGAATAAAAAGCAGGGGGGAAATGCAATTTCACTGCTGATACAGTTATCACATGCAAAATACGACAGTAACACGCTCTCAGCATTCAACTGCACATCAAACTATAAACAAAAGGAAAAAATTCAAATTAAAAAAAAAAAAATCACTTGAAATATACCCTTTTCGGTATTTCAATGGCATTACCAGTGCTAGCAGGAACATATAAAAATTCCTTCCAAAGAGCTTTTATTTGCTGACACGCACTACTAGTTGACACCGCTCTCGTATTGGCAGAAACTAATTGAATAGATCGTTTACTTCTTACCATCAACACAGGCTGGCCTTGCTCTTGTTGTACCGGCAATCTGTCCTTTTTTACATGCACAGCGAGCTGTTTGTCGAGCTATAGTCCTTCGGGGTTGACTGCTATCTCTGTCCAAAGTAACAATCTCACATGTACCTGCAGCCAGTTGACCTGGAAAAAGAACCAGCAACAGGTACCAGAGTCACTGAATGCACTGCAGGCAATCTATTACAGCCGAAGAGAGTCATGGCCCTACGTCACCACAGACACTCAACAATAAATGGCAGCCAGCTGATGGATATAATAAAACTGAAATGACATACAATTTTTCTTTGTGGTGGACATATGAAAACCCTGCAAACTTGTTCTGACAGAAAATGATTATTATTCCATAAAAGCCAGAGAGTTGAGGTCACACAGGTTACTTATGTCTGCTGAGTAAAGGAACAATCTACTTTTACAGCCACAAAATTTAAATTGCATGCTCTTCATGTATTTACAAAAAAAATGATTAAGTATATGGAAAACAAAACCAGACAATATTTAAAGGCCTTCTCCATATTCATGAGTATGATTTAGTCTTAATTGCTTCATGTGTTATTCCTGAAAGACCAGGTGCATCAAAGAATGCCCAATTTTGTCAGGCTCTTTGGCTCTTGCTTTGCATAGGGTCTTAGCAACTCATGCTCTACCTGACTCAGTTTTGAAGTAGCTAACCCCCTGTCTTTCGCTAAACTTACAATTTAACTATTCTGCATATGACAGTAAATTGTCAGAGCCTCGTTCGCTCAGCACCACTGACTGCATTTTACTGACTTCTTCAGTGTGTTCCTGAATATTATGAAAACCCACCCTACAGCTTGGACCATAATGTAAGGGACCAAAAAAAAAAAAAATTTACAAAAATTTGTTCTCATGGACTCTTAGTCAAAAGTAAAAGAGGTGAAAATACTACAATTAAAATGCCATATAAGCAGTATGCTAATAAGGTAGCAAAATACTATCATTTTTCAAGTAAGAAAGATATGTTATAGAATTTCAGTGCTTAGTAAGACTGAAAAAAAAAAAAAAAAAACAGCCATCACCTTTAACTATAATTTTTGCATACATACTGTACTACTAAACAGCATTTCTGTTGGATTCTGTCTTTTAAGCAATCAGTTGTAACACTTCAAAGAAATATATGGAAAAATACGTTTGCAAGCCATGAACTATATTCTCTTTCCATAAAATACTGAGATTGAAATAAAACCAATATTGTATTTTTAATATACAGTTTAAAGAATATTGAAAGTGAATTTTTTTCATTGTGTTGAACTTCTGAAAAATAATGAGAGAAAAAACAGGAATTTTAAATCTGCATTAACTTGAATTGAAAAAATAGTGAAATACATGTCAGCAGTGTTTAATTAACATCTACAAGTCTAATGATATTTCTTTGTACTGTATTTTTTTCTATTCTTCTCAGAATCAGCCTTCAATGTTTTCTTTTCTGTGGTTATAGTTCTGAAATTTTCAGAATACCAAAACACTGTAGGCTGTCAACAGTGCTGGTACTTGTTCAATGCTAAGCTACCTAAATTTCATGTTGCTGTAACTCCTACACTACAGTGAATGTACAATGTGGTAAAAGCAAGGATCATAAAGATGATTATAGAATGAAGTGCTCTAAAAATTCATGCAAATATATAAAGGTTATAGATATTAAGGCCTTCAGAAATATAGACAAGATATTCAACAGTCAAAATCACTGTAATATTTTAATGGTTACTGGCAATCAGACTTACGAGCTAAGTTAATCCTGACTTTCATTAGCTTTCTACTCTTTTCAACCCACACTATTAACAAAAACATCTTAGGATAAACATACTGATGAGGGGATTTTTACTTTGTTATATGCTATTTTTTTCAGAAATCTTGGGTTAGAAAGCCCCGGTTTAGCAAGAAAGGAAGTAGCATGTGATTCTTCAAATGCAGGCAGGGGAAATCCATATACTGAGAAATCCTGAGCTGAGAAAAAAAAGCATTAACTTTCACCCATTGCTAATACATTTCATTCAGGTTTGCAAGATATGCATCCCTCCCAAGGAATGAAGCTGTCTTAGTAGATCAAGAAAAAAAGACACGATCAGAGATGCATTTAGAATATGACCCCTTAGGCATCTGAACATCATGCTTAAGGTTCTGCATTGAGAATAGAAATTGAATGGAAACCAAAGAAAAATGGAAAGTGAAAATATGATACGAGTAAGTGCTCCTGAGAGAATGGGCGATCTTATTCTCCTCTATCTGGAAGTCTTTATACTATTGTTATTTTCATTAAAAGATAATTTAAATCATATAATCTAGGTAAATCATTGTATAAAACCCAATTTCATAGGAAAGGGACAAGCATGGTGAAGGTTAATAAGAACTACCCTCAAAATAAAAACAACACTGAAGCTTTATGTAAAGATAAATTTTAGGGAATGCAAACAGTGAGAGTTGATAAACATGTCCACAGACAATATTTTCTGTTTTTGAACCTGTCCAGTTTTAGTTAGACAAAGATTCATTTTAAAATACCTGGGCCATTTGTGGGTTTTTTTTTGTTTGTTTTTTTTTTGTTTTTTTTTAATGATTATTTTCAGATGGCTATTTATGCTCCTTTTTAAAGATGATGATTCCTTTCAGGCACAGTAACCTCTTTTTTTTTTAAGAACCTGGAAATCTTGGGTACCTAAAATGAGACTAGACTACAAAGATAATGTTGCATTGCCTTTCAAGGAACTTCGTGCAGCTATTAAAATATAATGGAATATTAGAGAGATTCTTGAGATATTTTATAGATTTTAAAGATAAATATGTAAATAAATCACTTATCTGTTGTCATTCTTGTTCCTACTGCAGAAGAAAAATAGAAGTTATTGCAGATCTGCAGCAAATTTTCCCACTTAATGTGATGTAAGTACTTCCTTGTCACTGTGTCACAGGTTGCAAAGATTGCAAGAATATATTTTACATCTACTGTTACTTGGCTTTAGATGGCTGTAAAGCATGAAAAGCGAAAGACAAATTTATGGAGGCCCACCTTCAGAGTATCTGGGTTTATCTGGAGGTCTTCTCTGTTTCTCAGCAAGTAGAAAGTAAACATTCAGGATAACATTACATATGTGATCTGAATGTTACTTTTATTTTTTAAGAATTTTATCTAGAAATATAAGGTTTAAAGAGAAGGAACAGAAGGAATATACTTCTTCTAAAGGCAGTTTCAAGAATTAGGGTACCTTTCATTTTCATGGAAGTTGGCACAATGACCTCTTTAAAGGACATTAATGAAAAAAGGCCAATATTTTTAGTAGATCCTATAGATGTACTCACAGTACACAAACAAATTCACCTCTATCCAACCCGAATGAAACAATCTTGAGGGGAAATAAAAAGACAAGCACCACCAGTGAACTTAGATTTGTTGAATAGTCTGAAAGGTTGTTTATTTTCCAAGAAAATGTCTTTTTAAAACTATTTTATGTATCAAAATAAAGAACAAAGATTCTTTCAAAGTTATAATAATCCTTTTACTTAAAAAAAAAAAAAAAAGTGTCTAGCTATTTCTTTGCTATTGTTTTAAGGAGGAAAATATGTCAGTTCTCTAACAGTAAATAAAATCTAATTTGCGTTCATTTTAGTAAGCAAGTTATAGATATTATGAATTTTAAATTTATTCATGCTGGAAAGCTGAAAACTTTTCTCCAAAATCTTTTAAGTAAATAAAATCAGATGATGAGCTCATAATATCTGTGAATTGAATGGCAATAAAACTTGATCTAAGCATATAGGTCTTTCCAGGGTTTCAGATTTCATGTTCATCCAGAAAATCTCTTAAATTGTATATACAGGGTTATACTGCAGTTCCAGTGAATAATTTTTTTTCCATGCATCATAAATTTGATGCCTAGCAACACAAGCTCTTTTAGTTTAAAATGCATAAAGTTAGATGTTATTAAAAATCTTGGCTAGATTCAGATACTCTTTTGTCAGAGAACACAATGCAGGAGTTGTTTCAAAATCAGATCATAGGAACACATTCAGTAGCTTTTATTACAATATTGAAGGCTTTCTGACAACAAAGTCATGCTAACTCTTGAGCAGAGCTGAATATCAGCAATTCTCACTGAAACAAAGGGGAACTTAAGTATATAGCATAATTTATGATCTGACATTAACCTGCATGTCAAATATTTCAACATATTTTGATCATTTTAAGTGTGTATTTAGCAGAACTTTTTTTTAAATTATGTATCCTTCCTCAGTGAAGATGTTCTGCAACAAGATCTTTTGACTTAAACATCATTCAATTTCAGACAGTCCTATTACCTTTTCTTTTCCAATTTTGGTTCAGAACAAGAAAGATTACAACAAAGGACTGATTTGCCCCAAAGAATGCCATTCACTTTTACTCAACAGCAAAATTTGTAGAAATTCATTTAGTATAAAATGAGAAAGATCAACTTAAACAAAGCTGCTGAAAAAAATGTTACTTAATGTGAAGCAACAAACCAGAATTGGCTAAGCTTCTGTATCTCATCATGGGAACAACTACTCAAATGAACGAGCACAATTTCAAAACAACTCTCAAATAAGAACCTTGTTTCAATTTTAACATATGCAATAGACAAGCTTTTTTTTTTTTTTTTTTTTTTTTTTTTTCCAATAGAATGTATTCATATATTTCCATCTTACATTACTAAAGTTTCTGGCACTGAAAGCATCTGCCACCAAGATGCTTAGCATGTCATTTAGGATCTTGTAGAATCCAAATCTTTCTATTGAAACATACTGTGGCTGTTGAACAGATTACACAGCAACTCTTCATGCCTCTACAGTTAAACAACTTTTTTAAAACACTTCTTGAGTTTTATTGTGGTTATATATATGCCATCAATAGAAAACAAGACAGATGCCATTGTCACATAAACAAAAAGTAACTTATTTGGATAATATTGATTTACCAGTGCAACATACAGGTACCCAGTAAATCAAAAAGTGGTAGGCAGATTTTTTTACAATTTCCCATTTGATTTGCTTCTGGTTGAGAGCTATACTTGGCTGGAATCATCCTTGCCATGTGACTGCTGTAATTCCACAGTCTTAAAGGGAATTATTCTGGGTTTTAGTTGTATAAAAACAGC